ACTGTTTTCTACGCATGTATTCACAAGAACCCATAAAATGATATGTACTCTAAAAATGTGATCATGATACATGTACTGTTTGCAATGTGCTTTTTCACCCAACATAGTAAATACTTCTTTCTCCATCAATAAATCTATATCTACACCATCTTTTTAAAAGACTACATGGCAATGTTCAATAACATACTTAACCCCTTGTTGACATTTTGAGTTGCTTTCATTGCTACAACAAACAATGCTGCAAGGAACATTTTAATATGACCACCTATGTGCATCTGAGTCATGACTTTCTCAGGATTAATTCCTAGAAATGAAATGGAAATACTTATTTTTGTTAAACAAAATTATGGAAGGCCACTGTTTGGGACTGAGCACCTGCCCAAGGCCCCAACAGACTGGTCCAAACCAGGCCAGAGTCACTCGTGCTAAATACTACATCAGCACACTGAAACTTTAGTTTTTCCTGAAAACATGACATGCCAGTTTACCAGAGCCAGCGAAACAGCGAATCCCCTCTGCTTTTTTTCTTTTTTCTTCTTTGAGATGGAGTCTCACTCTGTTGCTTGTACTACAGTGCTATGGTGTCAGCCTAGCTCACAGCAACCTCAAACTCCTGGGCTCAAGCGATCCTCCTGCCTCAGCCTCCCGAGTAGCTGGGACTACAGGCATGCGCCACCATGCCCGGCTAAAATATATATATGTATGTGTGTGTGTGTATATATATATATATATATGTATATATATGTATATATGTATATACATACACACACACACATTAGTTGTCCAACTAATTTCTTTCTATTTTTAGTAGAGATGGGGTCTCACTCTTGCTCAGGCTGGTCTCGAACTCCTGAGCTCAAGCAATCCACCTCCCTCAGCCCAGAGTGCTAGGATTACAGGCGTGAGCCACCGCACCTGGCCACCTCTGCTTTAATCCTTATAAAAAAGTCACCTGATGTTAACCCTCAGCTTTTTTCTCTTGTTTCCTTGTTTCCAACTTACAAAACTCATGACATCCCAGTAGGGGCTCGCTGTATAGAACGGAGGCTGCCCCACTAATGAACTGTAAATAAAGGCCTATCAGATCTATAACTAAACTTGTAATTTTGTTTTTGACAGTCTGCATCAAGGATACATTCCTTTGATTAAGCAAACAGAATTATTCTAATTAAACTTAGACTTTAATAATGTTTCAAAACAAAGTATTAAACAAGAAGACTGTGGAAGAACACCATGCAAGGCAGTCTTTGTTATTTTCCTGCTCTTTTATTGCCTCTCTAAAGCAGTTTGTATATCTGAAACACGTGGTTGTAAATTCAGGCTGTGTGTCATGGTAGAGTCTGCGGCAAGGTCCCTCCGCCCAGTTGCCGGGTCGGGTCCAAGTCACACACTGACAGTTCAGTTAAGCTGTCAACACCATGTTTTCACTTTTCTGTTAAAGCCAGCGTCAAAAGTTTAAGCCTCCCTCATCTCTTAATATTCTATTTTAAAAGATTCCCCTGTGAGCCTACCCTGCTTTCTGAGTGCTAAGTGTTAACTCCAAACCCAGGGACCAGGGACCTCCTGATAATCTGTCAGAGGGTTGTTACAAGAATCCAAACAGAAGCCAACTGAGTCACAATCCAAAGGAGCTCACCTCCACCGGCCACCCCCAAACCCCACCAGACACAACTGTGAAGGAGGACTCCCGGCTAAAGGTAGCCCCTGTTCTGGTGGGATTTTCAGTGAAGCTTGGGGCAGTCAGCACCACTATCTTCGTGCTTAGGCCACATGCAGAACATGCAAAAAAGTTACTCATATAGTTTCTAACTGGAAACACTCGCTTTTGGCTAACAAAATTTCATAAACACAAATAAAAAGCAGAAATGAACACTGTTAACTGAAAATAAATTTTAAATTGTCAAAGCTTCAAAAATATCTTTTTACAGATTTTTTAAAGATACTTTTAATATTTATGTTGCTTTTATAATTTTGTCCAATGGCAAAAGCAATGAGTGCTCGCTACAGAAATGGCAAAAATAAACCTGAGCAAAAAGAAGCTCATGGAGCAACCAGGGCAGAGACAACTGCTCTCACCTCAAGGGAGGTTGAAACAATCATTTCTAATGTACATATCTTTAAAAGACTTTTAACAATGGCATCACATGATACATATTGTTTTGTCACCTACCATAATTATTTAATCAATTCAGTATCATCAGACATTTAGGGAATTAATCAGGTTTGCCCAATTACAAGCAGTGCAGAGAAGCCAAGAATGAACTAGACAGTAGTGTCTGGCACCAAAATCATATCTGTGTGCACACAAGTACCTGGAATATTTAGCATCAACCCAATTGTGCTTGGTTGTTAAAATTATGCTTTCTAAAAACGTGTTTTCAAAGGAATCCTACAGTCCCTTCTGACCACGATCTCAGCTCGGAGACCGTCTAGTGCAGTGCCTGAGGAGGGGCCCACACCTCCCACGGTGGGACACACTCTGAAACCAAAGGAGCTGAACATGCTGAATGGGATAATGGGATTCAGGAGAAAAGGTATTGTTCTAGCTTTGACCTGTGTAGGCACCTACTTTACCAGCCTTTATTACAAACAAATGAGACTGTATTTTGCATTTTAAATTTTGTCCCGATCATTCAGTTCTTCATACTTGAAAAAATGTCTTCCCCAAAGCAGAAGCATGCCTGTTCCATCCTCATCATAGTGAGAGCCCCCACCCGTGTTCCAGAACCTGCCTGCGTCCCCACACGTCCCAAAGCAGACAGCCTCCGTGGCACTTTGCAGCCGGCAGGACTGGTCTGCGGTGGACACACAAGCCTCACGCTTGGTGAATCTGTCTCTTCCGCCCCAGAGAAGGTGCGGTGCGCAGGTGCGTGGGGTCTCCGGTTCCCAGGCGCCCCTGAACTGGTACTGTTTCCATTATCTTACCTTTATTTTGTGTGTAGCCTTTTCCAGGATGCAGACAGGTGCTAAAATCCTGGTCCCAGTGCCTGCCTTCAAAGTCTCTGCCAGCCATCTGGCACAGCCCCACAGACCTCCAACTGCGTGAGCAGGAGTTGGAGGCCACAGGCAAGGGAGGAGGGAGCCTGGAAGGAGGCCCTGCCGGCCCTGCCCAGCCTCTCCCCCTGCAGAAGGCAGAGGTGGGGCCTGCCGGGTGACTGGGGGAGGAGGCGGCAGCCCCTGCAGACCTGAGGCGGAACCTCGCTTTGGGTGGTTCCTCCTGAGTCTCAGCCCTGTGAGGTGGACGCTGGCAGGTGCATCAGGGAACCCTCAGGTCACGGGTACCCACTGAGCAGCCGTGTGGGCTCACATATGCTTCCCAGAGCCCAGAATTCACCGGGACGGGCAGAGACAAGGTGCCACTTTCTAAAATTCCCTTCCCATGAGATCTGCAAGTATCTCGGTCAAGGGACCCCTCAGGCCAGGCCACATGTGACAACTTTGCACCTGCTGCCCAGCACAGAAAGCAGCGCTTGTTACCCCTGGCAGATAATCTACTGGAGGCATGTCGGGTGGCTCACAGCGTCTACGGCAGGCTGGAGAACCAGGCTCAGAAAACAGCACTTGGGCACTTGGGAGAATGGGCTTCCAGCCTCCGGCCTCCAATACTGGAAGTCCAGATAGGAGCTGCCCCAGCCTCCCACAGACTCATCCTGGCCCAGGGCAGCTGGGGAGAAAACAGCAGAATGAAAACACTACTCCACACCCAGCACTGTCCTCCCACAGAGACCATCTGAGCAAGAAAAAAGGGACATGAACAGTATTTCTAAGGGGAAAATGCTTTCGACATCACCCCTTCCATCTCCTGCGGGCAGACACCTTCGCTCCCACCCTCAGAGGTGCAGGCAGCACCCACTGAGACCTCTGAGTCTCCAACCTGAAGCTACTAGTTATATGCACAGAGCAACGGAGAAACAGGTGCAAACCAATGCCACCCAAACCAGCCACACATGCCCTAAAAGGCACAGATTAAAGCTGCCTTTGGAGGAAGATTAATCTGTGAAGAATTCTGAGAGAAAGGGAGATTATCATCAGGTGTGAGAACAGATGGAGCAACTCTGTGGCGAAAAGGAGCTGTGTCACCAGGTGGGGGAATTGGCCAGGTGTGGGGGGGATTGGCCAGGTGTAGGGGGATTGGCCAGGTGGGGGGAGGGAATTGGCCAGGTAGTGGACTCAGCCAGGTGGGGTGGTATTGGTCAGGTGTGTGTGTGGGGGGAATCGGCCAGGTGAGGGGGACTTGGCCAGGTGGGAGAGAATCAGCCAAGTGTGAAAATTGGCCAAGTGGGGAGAATCAGCCAGGTGGGGGGTAATTGGCTAGCCAGGTGGGGGGAATCACACAGGTAGGGAGGACTTGGCCAGGTAGGGGACTCAACCAGGTGGGGAAGAATTGGCCAGGTGAGGGCGACTTGGCCAGGTGGGGGACTTGGTCAGGTTTCCCAGGCTGGTGCCTCTCCATGCTGCAGAAAGTGAGCACACATTCTTCTGGGAGGAGTTTGGGGCACTGGTCCTTTCAGAAGGTTTTACATCAGTAAAAACTGCTGCAGGAAGCAACCCAGTGCCCACGGACGGGTGAACAGATAAGCAAAACGTGGTCCCTCCACACAATGGATTATTGTTCAGCCCTAAAAGGACGCTCTGACCAGCCTACAACATGGATGCGCCTTGGTGGCACTGCGCTGCGCGAAATACGTCAGACACAAAAGGACTGACACCGTGTGACCCCCAGGTGAGGCCCCCGGGCAGTCAAATCCACAGACACAGAGAAGGGAACAGTGGGTGCCAGGGGCTGGGGAGGCAGAGAGAAAATTCAGTGTTCAGTGGGGACAGAGTTTCAGTTTCACAAGACGAAAATTCCGGAGATGGAGGGTGGTGATGGTTGCACAACAACGTGAACGGCCTTAAAGCCACTAAACTGTGCAAACAGAAGTGGTTAAGATGGGAAATTTCTGCTATGTGTGTTTACTCACAATTTTAAAAGCTTGCTGCATAATTATCTCACCAACCTGTCAGAACCTGAGGTGACAAGCGGCTCTCCACCATCCTGCAGTCCGGAGTATTCCACCTTCATACGCTGCCAGGTCTCCGCCAAAGTCTCGCACACAGAACTTACTATGATGCGGAAGCACGAGACGCTCAGAGGCCGAGCCAGCGGCCAGCCCGGCCCCTCCCTCCGCGCTGGGGTGGGCCAGAGGGGGGCAGGGCGCTGGAGGGGCGGGAGGGGGGCAGGGCGCTGGAGGGGCGGGAGGGGACAGCCTCCACCCCTCACGTGGAGGCTCCCCCTGGACTCTCCCCTGCAAAGATGGGAGCCCTCGCGGGGGTCCTGTGGCTGCTGCTGACCCCCCAAGCCAGGAGACGCACCCTGAGTCGAGCGAGGGCTGGAGAGCGGGAGTCGGCCAGTCACGGAGGAAAGAGGGAAGACCCGCCTCGCCGCCCTCCTGCTCCGTCTACACCGGCTGCATGGGGCTCTTCATCCGCATTCTCGGCCTTTCCCTCAGCTGGATGCACGCAGACAGATGCCTGGCTTCACCCTGTCCTTACCACCAGGTAGTGTGTCATCAGAAGATTAAATGGCCAGAACGTGGTCTTCCCCCAAACTAAACGGAATGAAATTTCCATTTTGCCTGAAGCAAACATTGAGCAAGAATTAAAACCCACTGGAATCTTCTTTTCACAGTCAGATATGATGGTACTTAAAAAAATACTACAAAATTATCAGCCAATTATACAGTACACAATCTTTTTTATTTAGACATGTTTAGGAACATGAATTCTTACATCCATGAGGACCATAAAACTTGAAAAATCACTTCATTTAACAGTTACTAATACCACTTTGTGAACTCTATGTTTTATAATACTTTAAAAATAGATAAACTTACAACTATTATCTTAAATCCACTGAGACACAACTGAACTTGTTCTAAATTTCCAAGCCTCTGTTCACATCAACCAAATATGTCTCTTTCAGATGTTCAGACACACACTAGCTCCAGATCTGTTTGGGTTCTGAGTTCCAGGGTGGCTGCTATGAGAAGAAAACCGCACCTCTGAAGTCACACACCTGTTTATACACCTGTTTACATGCCTGTTTATACACACTGTGGTCAGTAAACACCAAGGGTGTAACCTCCCTGGTTCTACACTAAGCACCAAGCCCCCATGCAAGTAATAAACTCCTCTTGTTAATGTTTTCCAGCGGACATAGAAAAGGCAGAGGTGACACCCTGGCCAGAACTGACTAAGACTGACGGCTGTGAATCCAGCCATGGGACAGACCTTAGAAACAGGTTTCTGACCCTGGTGGGGCACTGACACGGCCACCCCAGTGAGGGGACAGGAGCCGGCCAGCCAGCCACATCTCCTGTGGTAAGGGAAGGAGCTTGTCTGCCAGGCCTGCCCCGGCAGCCTATAGAAGGTGGAGGCATGGCTCTCTCCCCACCTCAGCATCCCCACCCCACCCTGTCCCCACTGGTCACACTGTGGGGCCAGATGGGCTCTATGTGGTGGCAGTACAAGGAGACATCAAAGTAGGGCTTGGATGCCCACTTAAATGACACCACCTAGATCCAAGAGGACAGCAAGAAACCAGCCCCCACGCCCTTATCCACAGTGCATCCTCATCACCAGCAGGGCATTTTACACCGGGGGCGTGGGATGCTCAATTAAGTTGCTCTTTGCCGATGGCACCACCACACTGTTTACTGCCGTGGAGCTGCTGGCAAGCCCCACGGGAGGGAGCAGGGCAGCTGCAGCGTGTTCAGGTAGTGTGCACCATGGGGAGAGGGGGTAGAGAAAGCACCTGGAAGCAACCATGTGCAGGAGGCGCATGGCAGCTTTGTTTTGTTTTTTAAACTAATCAGCCAAAGGTCTTGCCCTGCACGCCTCCGGCCAGTGTTACCAGGCGCCTGAAGCCCTCAAGGTTCAGCCCTCTGTTCCACAGACAGCAGGGCTAGGAGTAGGAGCCTCAGACTCTGAGGACATTAATTAAGGCTTCTACCTCCACCCTCTCCTTATCTGCTCCAGGTGAGTCACGAGAAGGCTCCTCCGGTTATATTTAGAGAGCAGAGAAGGAGGGAGTGGGGCTCTGGCCCATCACCCCAGAAATTCATCTTACTGCCCGCATCTGGGCCGTCTCCAGCTCCTGGATAAACTTCCAGCTGCTTCAAAATGAAATCAAAACAAACAGCCACTGCTGAGTTCAAACCCTGACCCAGGACACAGCACAGCCTCGTCCCTGAGTGGCACTGGTGGGTTTTTTCTTTCTTTCTTCTGTTCTTCTCATCGGGTGGATGTAAAGTTCAATCTAACTTAGGTTCTTGTCCTCTGAGGTTTTATTTTTATTTTATTTGTTTATTTACCTATCTTAGAGACGGGTTCTTGCTCTGTTGCCCAGGCTGGAGTGCGGAGGAGTGATCACAGCTCACTGCAGCCTGGAACGCCTGGGCTCCGAGCAGCCCTCTCGCCCCGGCCTCCCGAGTAGCTGGGACCACAGGCCTGAGCCTCCACGCCAGGCTGAGTTTCTATTTTTAGCAAATAAGCAATTTGGGACAATTTTCCACCTGACTACTTCAAGTCACTTTTTTAAGTCACAGAATTTTACAGTGAATACTAAATTTTAAATTTTAACAGAGTTTTACATGGCTCTGGCTCAGGAAGAACGCTGAGAAGTCAGAACCTGCCGTTCTGCTGTCTCCCAGCTCCAGATGCCCCATTGGCCCCTCCTCCCTCCCTAATTCAATCTGCCAGCTCCTGATGGCCCCTGACCCCAGCACCGGGAGAATCAAGTCTTAACCCCTGTGCCTCCAGGTGCACCTGGGCAGCAGCAGGGCAGGCCCCACTTCTGTGGTTCCAGGTGTCTGTGTCCCCTAAGGGCCCAGCCCCTCCTGGCTAAAGTCTCCTGCTAGCCTGACTAACCCCAATCCTACAAGGAAGGGGCTGGGAGAGTGCCAGGGACCCCTCCTCCCCTGCAGGGAACCACACAATGACAGGTGAAACACAGCATACCTGTGACTTGTCCTAGTATGTTTCTTAAAATCATTCTCAGTGTTTTCAGTATTTGCCAAATAATGGAACTGACCTTCTTTTTCTTTTTTTTGAGACAGAGTCTCACTCTGTTGCGGGGGCTAGAGTGCTGTGGCATCAGCCTAGCTCACAGCAACCTCAAACTCCTGGGCTCAAGTGATCCTCCTGCCTCAGCCTCCTGAGTAGCTGGGACTACAGGCATGCGCCGCCATGCCCGGCTAATTTTTCCTATTTTTAGTTGGCCAGTTAATTTCTCTCTATTTAGAGTAGAGACGGGGTCTCACTCAGGCTGGTTTTGAACTCCTGACCTTAAAAGATCCACTGGCCTTGGCCTCCCAGAGTGCTGGGATTACAGGCATGAGCCACCACGCCCGACCTGACCTTCTTCTCTTAAACATCCATGCTGGCCACCTGTGAACAACCCTCACCACTCCTTGTATTAAACATTTAACTTTCGACTGCCCAAGCAGCACAGGGAAAACACCACATGCAAATCTCAGGTGTTGGAACCACTCACAGATCCCTAGACCAGAGGGCTGCTCAACTGTAGGTAGGGACCCCACACACCTGGGGGGAGCCACACACCTGGGGGACAAAACACCTGAGGAGCTCACACCTGGGGATCCACACACCTGGGAGGATACACACACCTAAGGAACCCACATACCTGGGGAGCCCACATCCTGGGAAACCCACACACCTGGGGGGACCCACAAACCACCTGGACGTCAGGGCCAGGCCAGGTGCTCCTGCTGAACCTGATCCTGCTAGGTATGCGGGGGCCTTGGCCTCCTTCCTAAAGCCCTGGCTCCATCCTTATTGCGAGGAGAAAGGACATCCTGGGGGTGCATGTTTTCTGGGGAGCAACAGTGCCCTGCCTGTATATCACAACCTGATGGAAAGGCTGGTTTGCTCTGAAATGATTGACTCCAGAGTTGTGCACAAACGGTGACACTTGCTCATGGTGCTAATTTACTTTAGCGTTTGAGTTGGGGGACATGCTGGCCTTAGAATGCGTCTGTCCAAAAGGGCCCACAGGTATAACTTTAGAGTCATGGTCCCCCACACAACTGCAAAGAATAAGCACAGCTACACCAGTAGGATTGAATCGTGATCACAGATCGTAGCTGGCTGTCCCCATTACATGGAGGGATGTGTGGATGCTGTGAGCTGCCTGTCTGACACCCAGCACCCAAGAACTTCTGGGTCTTCCCCACAGCCCTGGAAACAGCTCCAGGAAACAGCATGGTGGCGCTAACCACAGGCCGGAGGCACATACACCCTGGGCCCTCTGCTGCCCAGCTTCAGGGACGTGGGTAGCAGCAGCCTCCGTGGTCAGCTCCTGCAGGGCTGGTCAGTGCAGAGAGGGCCACAGCCCATCTGCACTCATGCCCTCGTGGGCAGCCCCGTCTGCAGACAGAGCCTGGCCATGAGTGTGCACTTGGGCCCCGTGACGGGCTGCGCCCCACAAGGCTGGCTGGTGACATCCAATCCCCCCAGCCTTGGCTGCTTCCTGGTGCTTCCCTTTGCGCCTGGATCCTTGAAAAATACTGTATACCTGTCCTTTGGAGTCTGCTCCGGACAGCCCAGCCGCCCAGTCGTCTTTTAAAGTCAAGACAGGGACCAAACTCCTCAACCAGGCACATTAAAATAATAAAATAAAATAAGATATTTCTGACCCGAAGTCCTCTACACATAACCCACCCTCAGTAAGTTCTGGGCATAGGTCAAGAGCCCTTTGGGAAGACGACCCACATTGCAGGCTCGTCTGGGTGGGGCTGGGACCAGTTCCCAGACCCACAGAGAAAAGGCCACACCCACGTGGCTAACAGAGGCCTCTGCACAGAAGAAACTGCCCATCAGACCCAAGTCGCTTCTGAAATCTGCAAGGGTGATAAATTGATAGAAACCAACATCAACCTATTTTTTCGAACTCCTGACCTTGAACGATCCTTCCACCTCAGCCTCCCAGAGTGCTAGGATTACAGGCGTGAGCCACCAGGCCTGGCCCAACCCATTTTTTAATGAACTAAAATTCTGAGAGTGGTAAGGAAAAGTCATTATATTTCCTTTATTTGAAGTTTTACTTTTCTGTCACCTCCAAAGATTG